GACGTTACCTCACAACACAACGAGCCCCCTGACGTTGGTATGGACTCATGACAAGGACAATGTTAGCAGTGTTGTGAACTTGGAACAGAACACTCACTCACTCACTCAGCGCCCAGCCAGAGAGATATTGTAGTGTCAATCTCATAAGTGGTTGTGTTGTGCGAGAGGGTTGGGGTTAGGTTAAGTTAGTGGTGTGTGTTGCTGGGAGGGGTGGTGTTAGTGGTGTGTGTTGCTGGGAGGGGTGGTGTTAGTGGTGTGTGTTGCTGGGAGGGTGGTGTTAGTGGTGTGTGTTGCTGGGAGGGTGGTGTTAGTGGTGTGTGTTGCTGGGAGGGTGGTGTGTGTGTGTGTGTTGCTGGGAGGGGTGGTGTTAGTGGTGTGTGTTGCTGGGAGGGGTGGTGTTGGGACGTTTTGGGCCATTCCCCGTTGTAAACAAACAAGACGGCTCCCACCCAGACGCTCTCAATGAAACCAAAACAAACAGATGCTTTTAAAAAAATACCAACTTCTATTAAAAAAAATTGTGTATACTTAAGGAATTTATTCAAAATGTGATATTAAATAATTATTAGAGTAAATTTGGTTATTTTACTTGGCTCTTTATTTCTTTTGATATACCTGACGCATGCTGGTGTGACGCTTGTATTGGGGGGAGGGGTGATATGAGGGGGTGTAATTGTGGGGGAGGGGTGATGTAAGGGGGAATGTGAGGGAGGAGAAAGAGTACTGTATCTGGTGTTGACCGCCTAGTCTTGGGGTCGAGTCTAATAATAACGCTCACCTCTCCCCACCCCTCCCCACCCGTTCTCCCCATCTCTGTATTTATGAGGTACACGTAAAATGACTTACTGTTGGCTTAAGTTACACACGCTGCTCTTGGGTCCACTGTAAGATCTTAGAGGGAAGCTGTCGAGTTATTAATGCTGATAACAGGATCACCCGAAGATTAAATTAGCCCACATCTCCCAGCTTAACCTTAACAATCTCATAACCTGACTTAATGACCTGTCCTAACTTAATTTCACCTAACCTGAGTTAAACCTAACCGAACAGATCTAACCTAACCAAACCTAACTTAACCGAACTAATCTAACCTAACCTAACCCCCCGGTGTGATGAGTTAAGGTGACAAATTATTTTTACAGGAGTCTTCATGTAATTTTGACGCCATCTTGTCTCTCTACTTGTGTGTGTGGGGGGTGTGTTACACAGGCAGCTACAAGCACTGGGAGAGGACCAACACCCGGATTTAACAAAACAAGTGTCTCATTAACTCAACCTCGTAATTAGTGCTAAGTCGCTGTATCATTAAGCTTAAAACTGTGTAAAAAAAACATTAATACTTTTTATAATTTTTAATTTTTGTGATGTAAAAATTAGTTAAGGTATTTTGTCAGGAGAGAAAGATATTTTATTTTTTTGTAGGTTATTATTTTTTGTAGGTTATTATTTTTTGTAGGTTAAGTAAGTAAATTAGTTACGGAATTGTTTTTATTTTACGGCCAGAAAAAAAAAATCAGCGTACAGACCGGAACCTGGATTTAGTTGGAGGATCTTCAGTATTTACATTTACGAGAAAGTAGAATTAACTTACGAATCTGCCCCCAGTCTTACGTTAGAACCTGGTCTCAAAATTACTCCTGAACCTTTTGATCCACCATGAAAATGACTGACTTTGGAATGAACCATGAAAATGACTCGAACCTTTTGAGAATCCGAAGCCAAATCTGAACTCTCTCAACATAATCTCAAATATCTTCACTTACGAGGAAAACTATAACTGACTTACTAACATTTGAGAATCTAGGTCATTCCAAGGTTGATAGATCTGACCTATAGTTAAGGGGTTAGTGTGATGGGGCTGCCCTACGTTATACCGAGGAGGGGGAGGGGGTGTAGAATGTTGAGAGACACGAGAGAAAGAGAGAGACAAAGAGACTAGAAAAAGAGAGAGACAAAACACACACAGACACACGTGGACAAAGATAATGTTTTTCCCAGAACCTCTGACACACACAGTTCACCATCTGGCCACAAGTAGAGTTTAAGTGCACTTTATCCGCCTTTGGACACTAAGCTTCTCGAGGGTATATACAATTATTTTTTATGTCTTATCTGTGTATATATTTATCTGTCTGTCTATATCTCTACGTCTCCTCGATCACCACTCAATTGTTTGTATAATGGAGAATATTTGGGTCCAGTACTGTATGTGTGTGTTGTGTGTGTGTGTTTTATTGATGTGTGTTTTGTTTATTATTGTATTAAATATGTGTGTGTGAATTTGTGTGTGTTTGTGAGTGTATTTCTGTTTGTGTTTTATTTGCGTGTTTCTTCCTGTATGTGTGTAGTGTTTGTGTGTATGTGAGGGTTGTATGCGTGAACGCGGATACGGATTGGTGGTATAGTGAGGACGGTTGGTGCCACATTTGTTATTGTAACCGAATAGTGGGGAAGGAGGGAGGGAGGGAGGGTCGTGAATAGTGGGGAAGGGAGGGAGGTCAGGACTCTCCGAAGTCTCTACCATAACACACACACATGTTCACTCCGTTACCGTTTTGTTACACACCTGACTATCTTATCATCTCCTTATCTCACGTAACAGGTGTGTGAGTCACTTGTGGATGAGTACAACACGGGGATTGAGTGTGTTCCGTGTGAGTGTGTTGAGTAATGTGAGATCAAGAGGGAGGTGAGGAGGAGGGGTGGGGTGGATGAGACGAACTGGCAACTCTGTAACGGTGGTGCATTCTGGTGCGTCGGTAGGGTAAACTGACCCGTCTGTCATTAGCTGTTAGAGGCGTGTTTCCTTACCTCTGATGGGTATTCGTCGGCTGAGGACATCTCCCAGTCAGGGTATATTGACCTTTGTGATGAGGAACGGGACGGGTGATAATTCCACACCGTCAGGAAGTAGTGCAGTAGGAGTGCGGTGGATGGTTTTTGGTTGGTCTCTCCCTCCTTGACACACTCACACACACACACACACACACACTCTAACCCTTATTATACAATATATCGAGCCATGGCGCAGCTTACACAGGGAATAGAGGCGAGGATAGAGTGAGGATAGGGTGAGGGAGGGAGGCTACTCGACACAGTACCCCGGGCGGTGACCACACCCACCCACGTGCCCTGTGTAGCAATCGTAGGCTACTGCCCACCCCGCCCTCCACCATTGTAATAATTGGTTTTTATTATTATTTTATCATTATTATTACTTTAATTATTATCATTATTACTTTTATTGTTATTTTTATCATTATTATTATTATGAGATGTATAATTATCCTCGTAGTTAACGGGGAGATGGGCGGGGGCGGGGAGGCAGTGGAGGGGAAGTAAAAGCCACTAGGTAAGGGGAAACGTCTGGTTTTTCCCCTCAGGTCTAATATTGATGTTCCCTCATTTATCTGTCGTCTCTTGCCCTCCTTCTTCCTCCTTCCTTCGTTTGTTTTGTTCTCTGTTTTATTCTTATTATTGTTATTCTCCTTTTCATTGTTTTATTAAATATATTATATGTACTATATTCTGTGTTTGTGTACGTTTGTGTGTGTATGTGTACGTATGTGTGTGTACCTGCCACAATAAACCCCGCTGGACCCCTCAAATACCTGATGATAATTTAAATACATCCCTTTATTATTTTTCCCATAACACTATTTTTTCTCACTTTTATTTAAGCTATTTTTATTTTTTACTTATTTTTTATTTCAATTATTTTTATTTATTTTTTGGCCCAGGTGTTTTGATTGGCTGCCCGTCCGTGTATATTTGTTTAATTAATTAGTATTTTTTTTTTAGCCATGAGCACCTGTGATAGTTACGAGGTAAGAATTTTTTTTACCTGTTAACTGTAATTAATTGGGAGAGAATAGAACCTATTTTTAACGTCCTCAGACCTATAACGGTGAATATAACCCATTAAATCCTCACCCATGACCTATAACGGAATATAACCCATTAATCCTAACCCATGACCTATAACGGTGAATATAACCCACTTAATCCTAACCCATGACCTATAACGGTGAATATAACCCATTAAATCCTCACCCATGACCTATAATAGTGATCAAACCCATTTTTCATTAATTAAAGCAGCGGCCCAAACAGTATTCGATTATTAACCAGCGGTAGGGGAATTATTGTCTGGATTATTAAGTAATTAGCCTAGCCAGACTTCAAATACAGGTGTTGTTTTATGAGGTGTTAAAGTGATTATGTGTGTGGTATAATTATTTCAGCTGAGTTCAAGGTGAGGTATAGCCATTGGGGTTAATTTGTCGTCTGTCTGCTGTAAACTTTAGTAAATGTTTGTTAATTTTGGTTTATTTCTCGGCAACGTTTAAAGGGGAATTTTGGTGTTTGTCCGTGTGATATCTCCCGTCATAGTTGGTGGATTTTAATCGAACTTGGTACACCTATTTGACATTGCTCAAGGAAGGTGCCTATTGATTTTCAGGTCAGTAGGTCAACGGTCTGTTCATTATGGCCGTGTACTTTCTTGTCCGTGTGATATCTCCCGTCATAGTAGGTGGATTTTAATCGAACTTGGTACACCTATTTGACATTGCTCAAGGAAGGTGCCTATTGATTTTCAAGTCAGTAGGTCAAAGGTGAAGATCATTGATAAGGTCACTCCTCCAGCACAGCCTCATAAAATGGTGTCGCAAGTTTATAGATTTTTTTTTAATCTTGGTTTTGCTATTTTTTATTTATTTTTTTGTTTATTTGTCTTGTAATTTATTTATACCTGTTATTTTATATTACAGTTTTTTCGTTATTATCTTTTATGAGTGAAGTATTATTTAGTAATTATGTAACGGATTATTATTATTATATCTTTATGCAGGAGTAATGTTACGGTGGAGATGCCTCTGCTTAGTAATTATTGATGACTGATTATTTAGTAATTACCTGTTTATAATGATGTAGATGTGTTATTAATGACGGGTTTAACGTGTTACTAATGTGCCTTTGTCTGTCTGTCTCTTTTGCAGGAGTAATAATGAGAGTCAGTGTGTGAGTGCCGCCCGTACAGACAGACAGACAGACAGACAGACACAGATACTTGCACCCCCCTCCCCTCCCACCCCGCCACCACCATGACGCCACCACGACCTCTCACCACCACCACCGGTTATTTCCTCGTGGTGGTCGTCCTCGGCTTGGTGACTCAGACCAGCCTCGCCCAGCACTTGGAGAACGACCTTCAGTCTCTCCTACACGACCTGGATGTTAATCAGGGCGCCACGCAGCTCTCTGACGGCGGCGACGACGACTTCGAGGTCGAGGTCTTCTACCGTCCTGAACCCGAGGAACGAGCGGGGTCCCCCTCCACCAGCTCCTCCTCCACCAGCTCCTCCTCGAAGGGCGGGGGGAGTGTGAGGAGGCTGTGGGGCGTGGCAGACACTGAGGCTCATGTTGGGAGGCTCTTCTCTCACCCCATCCCTGCTGACGCCTTCGAGGGTGACGTCCTCTCCTACCAGGTGAGTAACTGCGTGAGTGACACCTTCTCTACCAGGTAAATAACTGTTATGAGTTACCGTGAGTGACGCCTTCTCTGCCAGGTGAGTTACTGTATGAGTGATTGTGAATGACTCCTTCTCTACTAGGTAAATAAAACTTCTATGAGTTACCGTGAGTGACTCCTCTACCAGGTGAGTGAGTGACCCGCTAGCCCTCACCCTGTAAGATCACACAGATGAATAAAAACGGAAGGTCAGAGGTCGATGGTGGCTGTTATGTTGACCAAAGAGGAGGGGTGAGGAGTTGAGGCCACGACTGATGGGGGTCAAGGATGATTAGAGGGCGAGAATGATTAGCTAGAAGTCTTGGGTGATTAGAGGTCTTGGAGGATTAGCCAGAGGTCATTAATGATTTGCTAGAGGTCACGGATGATTAGCTTGTCAAGGATGATTAGCTAGACGTCATGGATGATCAGCTAGGGGTGAAGGATGATTAGCTAGAGGTCACGGATGATTAGAGGGCATGCATGATTAGCTAGGGGTCAAGGATGATTAGAGGTCATAGACTTATTAACTAGAAGTCACTGATGATTAGATAGAGGTCACGGATGATTAACTAGATGTCTCGTATGATTAGCTGGATGCCAAGGGTAATTAGAGGTCATAGATTATTAGCTTGAAGTCACGGATCATTAGCTAGAAGTCAAGGATGATTAGCTAGAGGTCAAGGATGATTAGGTGGGGGCGACGAGGGATTAGTTGAAGGTCGGTGGGTGAGGCGTGGTGTGTCATGTTAGCTGTGACACGCCCACCAGGTGACCTGCTCTGCCTGCCTGCCTGCTGTGTATTGATCTGCTGCTATACATACATACATACATACATACATACACATACTACATACATACATACATACTACATACATACTACATACATACATACCTACATACATACATACATATTTACATACTTACACATACGCATTGGTGAGGTCATCCATATCCCAGACTAGGTCAGTCCTCCTGGTCTAGGAAGCAGGTCAGAGAGATGGATCAGTGTGCAGGAAGGGAAAGTGACGTGTCGTGACCTGACCCGATGTATGACCTTTTGTCCTCAGGTGAGCTCAGCAAGTGAGGGGAGGGGGCGTGACCCAGCCTCTTGTATTGTGGCTTCTCTCTCTCTCTCTCTCTCTCTCTCTCTCTCTCTCTAGCTGGTGTTGTGGGCGTCTGATTGATGAGTTAAGTGCATGCAACACACTCACCTGTCGCCTCCCTCCAGCTGGTATTGGACAGGTGGTGTTATTTGCAGGTATATTCCAGCAGGTGGTGCAAGACAGGCGGCCCCTTGATCCTGCTGGCCTTCCCACCCTGCCGCCCACCTTCCCACCCTGTCGCCCACCTTCTCGCCCTCCAGCCCACCCTCCCGCTCACTAAAGCTGCCCTGCTCAAGCTGAGGGAGGTAGAGGGGCAGGTGAGGTGGTGTGTAGTGTTGATGTGTGTGTATGGTAGGGGTGGTGGTGTGTAGTAATGGTAGTAGTTGTAGTGGGTGGTGGTAGTAGTGGTGGGTGTGGTCATGTATTCTGATAGTAGTTAAGTTTCGTGACCACAGATGAGGGTTGGGTTATATTAGGAGTGAGCCGAGTGGTAGTTAGTGATGGTGGTGGTAGCTGGTATGCATAGCTACCATTACGGTGATTAGTGTAAGAGCGAGCCTTTAAACTCACCTGAGAATAGGTCTTTTATGGTTACCTGACGATAGTGCTTTTAACTTCACCTTATAAGAGTAATGGTCTTTAGGTTAAGGTCGGGTTAGGTTAGGTGAGTTAAGGTTAAATTAGGTCAGATTAGCAAGGTTAATATTTTAGGTGTTTAATCCTCAGGTGAAATAAGCACAGGTGTGGACGTGGTCAGCAGGTGATCCTTTAGCCAGACAGAACACAGGTGTGGCGGGGTGGGCGTCATGAGGCACTTAATTAATGGTTTGTCAGGTGAAAAAACACTTGACTCTCAGGTGTGAAGGTGTCAGGCCCAGACCTCTACTGCCAACACTGCCGGGGAGGTTAGGTTAGGTTTCGTCAGGTGAGTGTTAGGTTGGATTAGGTTAGTGTTAGGTTGGATTAGGTTAGTGTTAGGGTGTTTCTAATTTTCACCTGATTTTTCACGTATTTTTTTCTAATAACCTAATAATAATAATACACATGATGCCGTAATGAACGACCATTTACCTAATTACATCAATAAGTATCACTGTGTTTAATTACCATAATGATAGAAACATATTTTATTTTTCACTCACTCGACAAAGGTGTTTTGTGTTAATAACCTTAATGGACAACATAACGAGTTTCTTTTATACTTTTACATCAAACTTTTGTGTTAGAATTTAAATACTTTGATGTGTATTTTTAATATTAATTTTTGAGATATTTTTGTATATGTAATGTTGATAAAAGGGATTGGTTAGTGTTAGGTTAGGTTAGGTTAATGACTGATCAGTGTAGGTGAGGTGATACAGACAGGTGTAGGTGAGGTGATACAGACAGGTGTAGGTGAGGTGATACAGACAGGTGTAGGTGAGGTGATACAGACAGGTGTAGGTGAGGTGATACAGACAGGTGTAGGTGAGGTGATACAGACAGGTGTAGGTGAGGTGATACAGACAGGTGTAGGTGAGGTGATACAGACAGGTGTAGGTGAGGTGATACAGACAGGTGTAGGTGAATTATTAGACAGGTGAGAAGATGTAAATGCACGTCTGTGTCTGTTTTAATGTCATGTAAAGGTGGGCTGTATGTCTCGTGTCTGTTTAGAAGGTAACTGGTGAAAGACATGGTAAGTTTGTCTGTTCCTGTGTCTGTTTTGATCATATGTCTGGCTGTTAACAGTAGGTGGCTAACAGACAACGGGATGAGGGGTACGGGGGTGTGAGAACGTCAGTACTCTCTAAGAACCCTTCCTGTGAATAGTGGCAATCATAGGCTGTGTACGTGTTGACGTCATATGGGCAGATAATGGTGACGTCACATGTCAACAAGTGGAGGGAGGGAGGAGGGAGGGGGCCAACACGTAAACATGTCACAATAATAGTAGTGTGTTGAATGTCTGAAGGGGAGAGGGGGTGGTAGAGAATTGTCTGGGGGAGAGAGGTCACTCTGGGGAGGGGGTGGTGGGGGTGTCTGGGGGGAAGGGATGGTGGGGAGGGGGGGGGTACTACATTTATTTACCTACTGTTAAAAAAAGCTTTACCATAAAATACAACGCCAGCTCGAGCAGTCAACACCGTCTGGCACTCGTTCTCCACACAACAATAGCAGACCAGAAAAAAACACACTTGTTAGTTCTAGCCATCAGCAGCTCTTGGCGTTAACTTCAACCCGCCCATGACACTTGTGGGAGCTCCGCCAGACGCACGTTCACTTGCCTCTCCCACCCACCACTCTTGTACTATATCATGTCTGTCAGCCTTACGCTCGCCAGACGAACGTGCGGTCGTCTCTTGCCTGTGCAGTGACTATACAAGGAGAGTAGTTTTTTTTATTTGGTGTGTATGTATATATGTACGTATGTATGTATGTATGTACGTACGTATCATCACCAAAATATCATAGTTATCCCAAATAAATAATTAAACCCCATAAAGCACTTGAGGGTCACCCACTACTTAAGGCTAGACCAACCCCCTCCCTCCCACACACACACATCAAGTGGGGGTCTCTAATATTCATGGCGCAGTGGTATTGTCCTCTCTTGCCGCCTGAGTTATGTGAGGGTTCGAGACCTGCAGAGGGAGTAAAGATGGTGATCTGTGTGTGTGTGTGTGCCACCATCCTCCAGGGGTCACAGTAGAGGGCCCAAGATGACGCCAGACTGTATACACGCAACAGTGTTTTGTTCAAGTGATTATACTGACTCTGCTTACACACGTACACCCGAGAGAGAGAGAGAGAGAGAGAGTGAGAGAGAGAGAGAGAGAGAGAGAGAGAGAGAGTTAAGTAAACACAATTAAGATAATGTAAAGTGCTGTGAGTCTAAACATTGTAAAATTGGTCTGAAAATCGGGTTGTAAAATCGGGTTGTGTTATGAGAAACCTTAACACTATAGTTTTCCCAGCACTGTAAAATCTGCCACAAAAATCGGGCTTTATGTAAAACTGGTTTCATTACTCAACAACAAATCGTAAAATCTGTCTGAAATCGAATCGCAAAATAGGACGGTAAATCGCTCGACAAAAACGTCTTGTAAACACTATCTACATCTGGATGGAAAATATGACTTTGAAAAATCTGTAAATCTGAACGTAAAAATCTGAGACTGAATCTTTTTACCATTATATTTTTCCATTTGTTTCATCAGTGAATAAATTAAGAAAATTCGTATAGAAATGTACTAAATTAGTCTAAAAATGTACTCCAGTGGCCCAAAATGTACTCAAGTGGTGCTAAATTTACTTAAATTGTCCCAAATTGTACTCGTGGTCAGAATTATACAAAAGTGGTCTATTATTGTACTCAGACGGTACAAAAATGTACTCAAGTGGTGGAAAAATGTACAAAATTGGTCCGAACGCGTTTTTTTATTCTCTTGTAAATTGTCGCACAGGGAGGGGGGGGGGGAGGAAAAGAAGAGAAGGAAGGAAGGAATATAAGAAGAGAAAGGAGGAGGAGAGGAAGAGAAGGAAGATAGAAGAATAAGGAAAAAAGAAGGTAGGAGAATAATAAGAAGAGAAAGGGAAGGAAAGACGGAGAGAAGGAAAGGAGGAAGGAGTTAAGGAAGGCAAGGCTGAGAGAAGGAAGGAGAAGGAGTGAAGGAAGGAAAGAGAGACATACAGCTGGTGCAGTGGATGGTGGCTCTAACTCGACTACAGATCAATAGTCCAGTCTTGGTGCTGCCTACTGCTGTACCTACTGCTGCTGCCTACTGCTGTGCCTACTGCTGTACCTACTGCTGTTTTTACTGTTGCTGTGCTTAATAGTCGTTCTGCTGCTGTGCATAATTTTATCCCTTTCTCTACAGGCAACTAGGAC